ATTACGTGGATTCTAAGATTTCCTAAAAACATAGATATAATTGAGATAAATAACATGTTTAAGCATTTCATTTGTGAGAAATTATTGGAGGAATTATAAGATTGAATTATGTAATATTAAGTATCCGTAAGATCGATATATGCTGCAATCGATTTAATCTTATATAAAATGAACCATATGACAAAATTTAGATATGAATTCAAATTTCGTGATAATAAAGAAGATTGTTATTACCTGGAGTAATTTCGGCGAGAGTAAAATCCTGTGGTTGAAGATATTTCTGTCCCAAATCTAAAGTTTTATTATCTTTAATGCAAAAAAATGGATGATAAATGGTAGTAGAAGGAAATGAAATATTATTTTAGGTCCTAACTAGGATACACTGAAATTAGTACTACCATAAGAATTAATTTATGGATATTTTTCATATCTTTCTCACACTTTTTTATCTATAAGAGGTCTTTTTCTCATTTAATACAATATCATGACTTCATTTAATTCTCATTTCTTTTTGTCATCTTGAATTTCTAAATTCTCGTACCATCAAATAATACTTTCTGCCGGTCAGTTTTAATGTAATTCTTCAGAAAATCATTCGTTAATACTGATATTGCGATGTAGCGATCAGGTAATTGGTAAAAAAGAGAGAGAGAGAGAAATATGCTGAGCATGATAACTGTTCAAACAACACCGATGAAATGACTATTAATTTCACCAATAACAATTTTTTTCTGTAAATACGAATAAATCGTTGACCAAAAAATTTTGTTGGCAACAATTTCGAATAATGTATTAATAAATAGATGAATTAAAAGAGTAATGATGATGAATTGAATATAGTTTGCCGTGAGATCCGTATTTTAGTTTAGAAGAGAGAGAGATGGAGGGAATGAGTGCTCGTTCGGCTCTTGTTGATGGACAGTCTATGATGGACTGAACAGATGCTGCCTTTGGTCATTCCTCTTTTTCATCGAATAGACAAATAAATATAAACCAGCTCTACCAAATATTATGTTAAAACTGGTCACCAATGGCCACTACTGCATATCTCCCCCGCACTACTACTTACTGCACCACTAACTATTACTACTACTAGCAACTTCATCTTCTACTTTTTATACGATGAGCTTCGTCTACTTTTTATACGACTAACAATTTCATTACTTGAATCATGCCTAATTTCTTGGCTAAATATTATCTGTCTAGAAAAACTTCCATTAAATTAATGAATTTTGAATTGGATCACACAAGAGAAATTATGCAGTACAGGAAATTTGAAATGCTAAATATTATAGTGACGATAAAATTATTTTGTGGTGTGGAATTTGTTCCACAGAATATCGGAATAGTTACATGACCTCTGTAATGCTATTGAAAGTATTATTTGTGGCAGTTTTCTTTAGCTTCTTTAGTCCAAAAATCAATACTTTGAAATATTTTCGTTGTTCAAAATTACTGTTTGCTATTAAAGACGTGTGACAAACAACGTTATGCCTGTCAATGTTTACCTTTTCATGTAGATGAGCATATACCGCACGTATCTTCCGGTATGTGGAAAACTCGACCAAAATGCCTTTTACGATTTATTTCAATAATGTATGCTCTGTTCTCGGGAGGTTAAATAGCTCTCAGAAGCTGATAATATGTTACGAAATAGTTCACCGAATACGGAAACAAATCACTAGACATTCTGTCTTCATCCTCCGTCAATTTGTGAGGTACAGAGCCATCCAACCTCACTACGTGAGAACTTTCGACCATCGTTTGCCGCCTTTCCCCTGCTCGCATTATTCCAGTCCCCTTATCACAAAGCCATAATGCAAATCCATCTGCACTACTTCGCATCTTTTATCCATCATTTCCAGACGATCCATGCGATGCTTTCAGATATTGTAAAAATCAGGAACATTATAAACAACCTGCTGTTATAATTGCTATTAACTTTAATACTACCTGAAATACTCTGCCTTAAATATATGAAGCTGATTGCAAAAAGTCCATGGATCTAATAATAATTCTTAAGAACAGAAAAATTATTCTCTGGTTTGATAGCAATGTCCAAAACATCTTAGAGAACAGGAAAAAAAAAACTTTATACAGCAATCGTTTAATTCACAGAATGATGCAAACAATACCATTACAGTAATAAGGAAGCCAAAACAAACCAAATTTTGCATACAGATAGAGGAAATTATATAACAAAAGATAATAAAAGCAGGAATAAAAACGCGACATGCGTTTTCGCATAAAAAGGTTAGTGACAATAATTTTATTATTTTTTTGTACAGGACTAAGTTTTGCATTACAGACGTATTGATTTTTGTTGAGTATCAAACCGAAATTAAATGGAAGAAAAATCCAGAAATTTTGAAGAGGTAGCGAATGCGTAGATGTTTACGTTTACTTGATGCTACCAAATGCCGGTTGGCTAGTATAAACCATGTACAAAAAACCATCCTGGTCTGCTTCCTGCTGATATAGCTGATACATATTCATACTGTTTGATACCATTGATTTCTCATTGACTAGGAGGAAGAAAGTTTGATCCGGATGAAGCTGTAATCGCCTTAAAAGATTTGTTTTTGCCATTCTATTTCAATTTCAGTATTCACAAAACAATATTCGGAAAACATGTTTGATGGTTGCACTTTATGAGAAATGACAGTTAGCAATACTATGCTTTATGTAAGATTTCAGTAGACTGTGGTGTACATTCTACAACACTGGGAAGTCCTTTCATTCTCATAACAAATAATAAGCACTAATAAAGACAGCGTAAGAAGCGTCTAAGCGATGAATTTGGCAGAGTGAGACCAATATAAATTTAATATATACAGAACAGACCATGTTATAATTTATTCATGTTTCGATCATCAACAATGTTCCCGCCGACAACCCAACAGCAAAAAGGATTGAAAAACACATAAACTGTACAAAATCAAACAACAAACCTTCGCACAATTTGCATCAATTCGGCAATTGTTATATGGTCTGGCACCAGGAATTTGCACCGATCCAAAAGTGGCAAATACTTCTCCCCTTCAAATCGCTCAATCACAACAGGAATCTTATTCGGTTGCTGCTGTCGTGCTTCTGCCGCATCTTTTGAACGTGCTGCTAAAGCGATAAAAAGAGTTCGACCTTTAATCAGTAATACAACTGTAGACAACTAGTTAACGATATCTTATTAATTCAAAGATTTAGGACAACTAAATCGAAATGAATATGCGTATTTTGCTATCCTTTAAATTGAATTCCAAAATCAAGGGATGAACAGAAGTGTTTTTCTACGGTTCAATGAAAACATTAATGACATGATATTTTAAATACTTACCCTATTTCCAGAAACTGTTTCAGATTGTATAAATTAAGAGAATAGATGTTTTTGTGTATTTGGTTACAAAAATCCACTGTTTTGAACTTTGAAAAATATGATAAAAACAAGTACCGAACCAACTACTTCGTATCATTCATCCGTATAATGTCTGAACATACGCTAATGGGTTATCCATTATTCAGATATGCCATCACTCATTGTTCGTTCAAAAAAACTTGCATTAAAAAAGAGAGCAAACTCATGTATTAACTCAATACAGCATCTCATCTTTTCTCTTCCACTTCCTCCCTTCTATCCCTTTCCTTTCCTCTTCCTCTTTCACCTCTTGTACTTGAGTGAAAATGTTCGACAGCGAACATCTTACTTCCTAAAAATTTTCATCCCATTTATAGCTGGAAGCAGTGAAAAATGTTTCCAGACATGAAGGGGATGAAAATGGAAAAACCATGAAGTGAAAATGACAGATTACTCAAACTGCTTTGAAAAAAAACGTTTTAATCCAATCGATACTTCCTGTTTTCCAATCATGACTTCCAAAAAAGGAGGCAGTGACAAACTGCGAGTGGTACGTACAAAACTATATTCTGACATCAAAACTATCCATTTATGCTATCAACCGATGTTTTATAAACAATAGAAATTGTGGGTCCCACTATATTATAAGAGTTCTTGAAGCGCTTACAATTTTGGTTAAGAAAAGTATTATCAATTCTTACATCTACAATATTTACGATACAGACTTCGTCAGCTATAACGAACGGTAACTAAAAACTAGAAAGTACCACTCTGAATATTCATAATAAAAAAATTGCAATGATTACAATCGGGTAACTGCGATAAATTGTAATAAAATTGCAAATATCACCTGAGCTTAATAATTCATTTATAATTTTTAATAAACGAAATCAATATCATAAATAATTCATTTATAATTTTTAATAAACGAAATCAATATCATATCTAATCTCTTTTCATCAGTTTTAATTTCCTATTAAAAGAAAACAATAATTCTTATAATATGAAATAAAAAAAGTAAAATGACATACCAAATGAGTGTCGTTCCTTGAATGTTGGTATATATCCGCTAAATGCCATCTGTTCCAGTATTTTCACTCTCTCCAAGGTACACAACCTTTTTCTCCTTTATCAATCCTCTCAGATTTGGACCTTACTACCAATTTTTATTCCGTCCTGCAGCTCATTCCGTTAACTTGCATTGTTATTTGTAATAAAATGCAGCATAATTAGTACAAGAGAAATACAAAAACATATATAACATTAATCATCTTCTATACATGCAATTCCACACAAAATATATGCAAAACGCAAATACAAACACATTTCACACTGTTAAAACTAAAGAATAGAATGACAAAAAACTCAAAACTTTTTGATGACATTCTCCTTGCTTGGAACTGTTATCTGTATCTCCGTCCATATGATACATATACGTGTGTCACTATGTATGTATAGATGTACATGTGTGCATTATGTTGTGTGTGTATGTGTTGTGTGTGTATGTGTTGTGTGTGTATGTGTTGTGTGTGTATGTGTTGTGTGTGTATGTGTTGTGTGTGTATGTGTTGTGTGTGTATGTGTTGTGTGTGTATGTGTTGTGTGTGTATGTGTTGTGTGTGTATGTGTTGTGTGTGTATGTGT